TTACAAATCCCTCTGATTATACCCGACATGTGGATATAACGAATAATAGTAAAACCTTTATGTTTTTCAAAAATTTACGGTATAGCTTATTGTATCAACATTTTGTTTTTTTTTACTAACGAAAAAAAATGGTCGATATATCAAGAGTAAAATGTAGCATGAATTTTATTATAAATATCATTAACTCGTGAAGGAATAACCCTTATAAATTAGCAAATTTTTGAAATTTTTTATATTAACATATAAATTGGTTCAATATATAAATGTATGCTTGGCATAAAATAGCAGTAGCTAAACGCTAAATAAATAGTTTATTAATAACTCCTAATGGTCGTCCTTCATGATCAGAAAATTCGAATTACTATATGTTGCAAAAAATTCGTAATGGATTTTCAAAGGTAACGTATTTCGGAAATAAGTGAGTAGGTTCAAGGCATGATTTTGTTTTCTGATTTAGAGGTGTATTTGGAACTAAATATAGCTTATTTCAAAAAATTACGTAATCTAGTTCACTAAAATGGATCCTTAAATTTTAAACCCAAGTAGAATTTTCTGTTAGTATTGTGGTATTTTTAGGATATTTGTTGCCTTAATTGCACCCAGAAGTGATACAACACTGGTAGATGTCTCAAGAAGTTGTGCTAATAAGAAAGATAGTCTATGCACCGCAGGAAATAATTAAGCCTTGTGCTATAATGATAAAATTCTTTTTAGCTAAATGAATCGTTTGTGTAGTCTTTAAATTATGCATTCAAGCTATATATTTATTAGTATAACAAAAATAACTTTTTAAAGAAACTTTTTTATTTTCGGGAGGGAAAACGCTCAAAATGCAAATTTCATGTTTCATGAAATAAAAATCATATGAAATCAAAAAACTTATTTACAGCAAGTAGTTGTTCGTAATGTAGTGACTGTATAAAGTGAACGATCAGGTTCTCCTACTTCATGAGGGACGCATTTACTTAACGAATCTTTATCCATTAATAAAGTCGTGTATATCATGATGTGAAATTAACGCACCTTCTATTAGATATGTTTTGCTCTGAATAATTATCACGACCGTGTATAATTAAACATTTATTGATTTAGTAGAAGTGAAAATTTTGTTACAAACTAATAAATTTAGTTGTAGAAATCAGAAATGCTTTTAACTTAGTAAAATAATAGATACTAAATTCTGTAAATTCTTCAAGTTCTACAAATTCTGAAAATTCTACAAATTCTGCAAATTCTGCGAATTCTGCAAATTCTGTAATTTCCACAAATTCATTAAATTCGATAAATTCTGAAAATCGACATTTCCACAAATTCATTAAATTCGGTCAATTCTGAAATCGAGTATAATCAAGTTATAAAAAATATAAAAGGTAGCAGTAAATACCAATACCCCCCCCCCCCTTCTTAATTCTTACAAGTTTTTTTACCTGTCGTTAAATAACTACTTCATCGAACTAATTACTTTTATTATTAAAAACTATATGCAGTAAGCCATTTTTATTAAATTTTTTCTTTGAAAGGTTATTTAATGCAATTAATCAACCTAAATTTGCAGAATTACTGGTTTATGCTTAACTTACTCGTCAGACATTATCGACAAAGTAATTCGTTAAACCCTTAATACTTCATTCAAAATGCTAAATTCAAAAAAGAAAAGTTATTACAATATTGCTCGTGAAGATTTAGAAAGACTAAACGGGGACATATCTGTGGAGGAAGATATAAAACTATCTCAAGCTCAGAAAAAGATAAAAGTCATATTTCGAAGATTAAAAAGGGCTAGAAAACTAAACCGAATTCATACTCTTGTTTACGCTTTCTATCTTGGTGAAATTCTGGAAAATGCGTGTGGTAAAAAAAAATACAATGATAAAGGTCTGTCAAGATACTATGCTGAAGTGTCAGTGAGAGTATATTATCTTTTTCAGAAGGCTGGAGTTAAACGAATTTATCAAACGACCAAACTGACTTTAACAACGATCTCCAAATTGACGGCCGCAGAATTTCAACAACTGGTAGATGACAATAACGATAACAACGATGATAGTGAAGACGAATCATCTCAGGACAACGATGACGCTGTAAAAGAATTATCACAAAATAATGTTATTGAAAATGAGCCATTTCAAAATACTGGGCTCACACAAATTGCCACCAACCTTTCTCAAGACGCTACACAGCAACCAATTATAATTACCGTCGACCAACATAACGATAACTATCAACTTAGCTTTCATCCAAATATCAACTATCAATCGTTTCAAGGTTACCCTGGTTATTCTGAAGCCCATGCTACTATCGGTAGACAACTGCAAAATGCTTTAGAATTCTCCAATATTGTTGAACAAATCTCCAATATTACTGACGTTCAAATTGTCACCAATTCTAATACTTTTCAACATACAACATACGACAGCTGATACTTTTCGACATGCGACAGCTAATACTTTTCGGCATAAGTTCTGCGTAGTAAAAGCCTACCTTTCCAAAGAGCAGTATAGCAAAGTGACTTTCGCTGGCGAAGAATAAATATATTATATTTCCAAAGACCACACACGTTAACTGGCTAGATGCCACTAAGAAAATAAGCAAACGGACAAGGAGATTACAATTATATACTTTTTTTTAAGACTTTAACATCATGATACCCTAAAAATAATCATAATGAACCTCTTTTTGAAAGTATGAGGCAATTACTAAGTCTTATATATTGCTAAATTATATAGAATACGCTAACGGATAAATTATTCATCGTAAATTAAGTTTTGGTGATACGTACACGAAACAAAAAGATTATATTCAAGATATTTTTTATTTTACAAGCTATATTTATAATAAAATGATTTTGAATAAAATTTATATCATATACCATTCTAATTAAAAATCCATAATAGATAATTCTGACGAATTTTAATATCTTTAGTGTGTTCAAAATAAGCGTAAGTAATTTCTTTTATGCTTAAATGGGTAAAACATGTTCATTAAATACACATAAAAGGCTTAGTTCGTGGTTTGTGCGAAGAACTTATTTAAACAAAGTGTTTTTTAAGATTGTCATGAGTTGCACGAAGACCTGAAAACCAGTATAGATGTAGCATTCTTGTATGTACGTAGTCTCTTCTTAATAAATTATTCACCGTTGTTATTTTATTTCATGTAACCGGTGAATATAGTGAACATTTATAATAGGTGTATTTAAAATAAATTATTTATACCATATTAATTACTTTATATTTTAGTCAAATTATTTTTTAATGAAAGCGTTCAAAATAATATATTTACTTCTTATTAACTTCTTACATATGTTGTAAGTGTAAACGGAATTAAGTGGATTTGGAATTTTCTAGTTAAAATTATGGGTGTTTATATGATAAAATCAACCCCTAAATGCTGGTTTTATCCGAATTTACGTAAATTCCGTTTCCGCTTACAACATATATATACTAATTTTACATCAAACTATGCAAAATCACAGTTCATATAAGATTGTGATCGTTTATTTAGATAAATATGTATTTAATAAAAAGGACCAATATAATTATCGGAACATGTCGTGAAGCCATCTGCATGTACGTATTAAAAAGGGTATGGTAACGATAAGAAAATTTATTATTAAACGTAAAATATCGTGAAACGGTACATAGGTTTTAAGGATAGACACATAAAAAAAACACTCAGTATTTAAGAATGCATAAAGACTAGTTATGCCTGATTTACAATTAACATCATAGTAAGCAGGTTAGTAAAGCAATAAATGGTCCAATTCTTAAGCGAACGCTTTAAAAATAGATAACTTTGAATTATTGAACTTCGGACAGATAAAATGGACGAGGTAAACTTTTACAAATATGAAAGTGTAATAAACTCTTGGTTTAAACTAATTACAATATATTTAGTATAGTGTCGCGGGTAAATAGGGCGGATCCAAGGATGGAGCGAATGCGACGAATTGTCGCTCCAGAATCGTCGACGTCGCGTAACGTTACTCG